TGGGTGGCAGCCACTCGATGTGTCTCTCGCACGTCGATGTTTCTCTCTCTCTCTCCCTCCCTCTCTCCTTCCCACTTTATCTGAAGATAAATGCAAAAGTGTCCTTGGGTGAGGATAAAAAATTTTTTTTTAATTACAGTTAACATACAGTATTATATAAGTTGCAGGTACACAACATAGTGATTAGAGATTTATTTAACTTACAAAGTGATCACCCTCATGAGTCTAGTACCCACCTGGCCCCACATATAATTATTATAATATTATTGACTATATTCCCTATGCTGTACTTTATACAGCATAGACTGTTTTTATAACTGGCCAGTTTGTACTTCTTAATCCCTTCACCTTTTTCATCCATCCCCCAACTCCCCTCCCATCTGGCAACCATCAAAATGTCCTCTGTATCTATATGTTTGTTTTTGTTTCGTTTGGTCGTTTATGTTGTTTTTTAGATTCCACATATAAGTGAAACCATATGGTATTTTTCTTTCTTTCTCTAACTTATTTCACTTAGCATAATGCCTTCTAGGTCCATCCATGTTGTCTCAGAATGGCAAGATTTTATTCTTTTTATGGCCAGGTAATATTCCATTGTGTGTACGTACCACATCTTCTTTATCCATCCATCTATTGATAGACACTCAGGTTGCTTTCTTATCTTGGCTGTTGGAAACAATGCTCCAATGAACATAGGATGCATATGTCTTTTCAAATTAGGGTTTGAAGTTTTTTATTTTATATATATACCAAGAAAATGTTCTTTATCGTATTTTGAGAGATAGGAACACGTGACCAAGCTTCTTTTTTTAAAAAAAATTTTCTTTATTGATTTTTAGAGAGAGGGAGAGAGAGAGAGATAGAAACATCAATGAGAGAGAACATTGATTGGCCACCTCCTGCATGCCCCCCACTGGGGATCGGGCCCACAACCTGGGCATGTGTCCTTACCGGGAATCAAACCAGCGACCTCTTGGTGCAGGGGTTGATGCTCAACCACTGAGCCACACCAGCCGGGCAACCAAGCTTCTTAAACAGAATAATGTAGACCTACGCATTTCATCATACATGAATTCTATCTAAAATTTTTGAAGGTTTTGACAGACCCAGCATAATGGGTTAGGGTGCTGGCTTTATGAGTTAATTACTACCCTGGCCTCCATTTCTCAACGTGTAAAATGGGGTCAAACGCCTGTGGATTTTGTGAGGCACATACAGTGTCTGTAAACCTTTTAGAGTGGTATTTGATCAAAGAATAACCATGCAATAGTGTTGTTGCACTATTTTAATGAATTCCTTGTGATTCTTGCAAACACCTTGTACTTCTGATATAGACTATGTCTCCCTTTTTCTTTTAGTGCTCATTCTGTCTATTTGGAGAACACTCATGCTTCTTACATCTTTAAAATTGCTTATCTTTCTCTTTGCTTTGCCTCAGCCAGCATCACACCCCCCACACTCCAAATCAAAGGTACTATTCAGTTATTTGCATCAATTGTTACCAATGTGAGTTTTAAACAATGCAAACAATACCACTTCACTACACTAAAAATACTAGATGAGTATCCTCGTGTGTCTGTAAGAGCTGATGTCTGAATGTTGTCTGTGGTTCTACAGTGTCAGGGACCAAACACACCCTCAAGAAAAGGCATTTCGTAAATAAATAAATTTGGACTGTTTAGAAAGTGTAACTGATTCTTTTACTCGTTCCTAAATGTGAGTGAACTCGAAGTCTCCAGTCCGTGAGCAGGTTCCTTTCCTGTGATGATACAGTTAATAAATAAACCCACAAACTCTTCACGCACCCAGCTCAACAGTTTTCCTACTCGTTTATGCTTCTGTGCTGAATTTTTTGCATGACGTGTGTTACCCTTTTGTGATATAATTATGCAAATACCGAAAGTCCTTTTCAATCGAGAGACAGATACATGCATTCCGTGGATGCTTGTATATATTTGCCTTCTATGTGCTACTCACCTTGGATTTTGAAGCTGTTTCATGGTGAATCGAGGAAAGGGGACTTTGACCACACTTGGTTCAGATGTCTGAAGTACAAAGAGCATACACACAAGAGTGGTGGTGGTGGTGGTGTGTGTGTGTGGGGGGGTGCTGCTCAAAAAGCATGATTAAACAAGGAGTAGGGGGCTTGGGAGACCTAGTTAAAATCTGTGGTCCCGAGTTCCAGTTGGACACAGGAGAGTATTGGGTTTTACTGTCAATCTTCACACAGGGGCTACCTGTCACTTGGCCCCTCAGGTGTGTTCCACGCTGGGAGTCAGTCATTTGCACATAGCTAGATTGTCAAGCGAACAGGGTGTGAAAGCACTCATTGTTTAAAACAGGCAGATGTGTTTTCTAGAGAAGAAAAAACCTGATTCGCCTACAATTACTGGCCCACCAGAGTCCTTGAATAATTAGGCGCCAATTTTTCTTTGCTAGTTTGAGAATGTGAGCACGTGTGACTTGACTGCCTCCCCTTTCTAATGACACCTCCAAGCTGTTTTGTCCCCACCACAATTCCGGATACTTCCTTTTCAGCTTCTGCCTTGCCTGTCAGCATCAACACGATGCCCCGTCACATAATGGGTTTGAGGGGAGTTGACACTGGGTACCAGTGCTATTCATTGAGCTCCAACATCAGAGGAAACAGGGGGGCCCGACTGGTCATTATTTATTGCATGAGACGACCCCCCTGTGGTGCACCGAAGGTTCAATTTGCCATAATGCTGAAAATGATATAGTTAGTAGAAGAACTTAATCTCTGAGGAATTTATACATTTGAATGAGAGGAGGAAAAGTATGCTTTAAAGAGGGTAGAGACGTCATAGGCTGAAACTGACTTGCATACCTAAACCGACCTCCCCAAAGCCATCGACACCCCGGAGCTGTCATGGTGCAGAACTGATATAGGGGAACATGAGGGTTATGTATACAATTGACCCTGATGAAGTGGTTCCAACTCCCTAGCCAACGGAGAAGTCTTACACAGACTATTAACCCACGAGAGGGACCCAGAAATTGTGAAGCATGGCAGTATCCATTCTGTGGAAGCAGCTTTCTGGGTGTGTGCATGAGACATGTGATCGGGCATCATGAAAGACCCTGGGGTAAGAACTCTGACTTCTCATCCCTTCAGTTGTCATGAGAACTACTGATACCTCATTCCTAAATGAGTCTCATCACCTGAGGCAACAATGACCTTGGGAGTGTGTATATGCTTTGACTGGGATTCAGAAATGACCAAACTGGAGAAACACTGGCTAAGGGGGCCCTCAGGGGGCGTGGGGTATAGTCCTCACCATTCCTTATGCCCCCTTGTGGCATTTTTTGTGGCTTTTTGCCACTTTGGACTCTTGCCCTAGACTGAAAACATCTTTGCTATTTAGTATTTTGTCTCTTTCTTGAAAACTATCTAACTAGAACTGAGACTGCCATAGTATTACCGAATAATGCTTATGTTTTCTCTTTTAGCTTTTAATTCATCATCTCTCTAATTTATTTTTGGTTAATCCTCACCTGAGGATATTTTTTCCATTGATTTTTAGATAAAGTGGAAGGGAGGGATGGAGGGGGAGAGAGAGAGAGAGAGAGAGAGAGAGAGAGAGAGAGAGAGAGAATTGAGAGAGACACCTCTACTGGTTGCCTTGGGGATCCAACCTGCAACCCAGGTATGTGCCCTTGACAGGGAATCGAACCTGCAACTTCCATCTGTGGGCTAATGCTCTAACCACTGAGTCAAACCGGCCAGGGCATCATCTCTCTAATTTTTAAACTGATTTTGTCTATGAGATTTTTTTTCCCCCTCCAAGTTTTGTGTTGTGGTTTTGTTTGCTTTTCATGTTTTGTGTTTTATTCTTCAGGTGTTTTCCCTGTATGTGAAGTTGGATCTATTTATTCACCCACTTTATGTTTTCTAGTGTACTTTTTTTGTTTTTGTTTTTTATGTTTACAGTTTCTTTCCAGCTCCGCAACAGATGAACAGCCCAAGAAACCAACCCTTCATCCCGGCCATTGCACAGGAACATTTCCCCCCCTGTCCTAGAAGTGCTGCCTTCCATTAATTTCCAGAACCTCTACATTTCCAGGATTTTCCCTTCTCTCTCTAATCGTTGCCATCCGTTTGCTCTGCCTGTGTGTCTCAAGACATATCTCATGAGTTTCAGACTAACACTGTTCTTCCACTCCCACAGCTGTTTTCCTGAGGCGCACCTGACTCCGACCTCAGTTTCCCTTTGCGTCCCAAGCAACTATACAGGTGTCTACGGGGCATCGCCCCCTGGCAGCCCCAGAGCCTAGGACGCGCGGTCCTAATCCGCACGCACCGGTCTCTCTTCCCCGCGCCCCTAAGAGAGCGAGCTAGACCGGCTATTCCTCCTCTCCAGGGACAGACTTATACACCTTCTCCATCACTTCTATTCGTACATTCAATCATAGCTGTTCCCGATGCCTCCTGAGTCGTACACACACACACACACACACACACACACACACACACACACACACACACACACACGTCTTTGATCTCCAGGCTGCGGCTTCGCTCCACTGAGCTCAGACCACACCATCTCCCCCTCCGCGGATGCCTTCCATGTGCGCGGTGGTCTGCTCCCACTCCACGCCGCAGGACGGGGGGTTCCTGGCACACCGACCCGCGGCTGTCACTCCCCCTGTGAAAAGTCATCCCTGGACAGGCTGACCAGGCTGCGTTTGGGGACGGGACAGCGTGAGAAGGTGTCTTGTGTCAACCAGGACTCCTGGTAGACGCCCCTATGCACGATCCACTTGTGGTGGTCGGGGGCGGGGAAGGGGCGGGATTGAGCCCCCTTCCCCCCTCCTCCTTACTGCGGAAAGCTGCAGAGCTAAAGGCACTTACTTCCTAGTCGCCAGTCAGCAGGGAGGGATCCTCTGCTCAGCCACGTAGGCATATTCTCTTCTCTCTGGAGGAAAAGGCCCAGCAGCTGTCGGAGGAGAAGGCCCATCGGCTGTCAGAGCGAACGGACATGTCGCAGCTAAGTAAGAATTTGGGTGATTCCAGTCCCCCGGCGGAGGCTCCTAAGCCTCCGGTCTATAGCCGCCCTACGGTTCTGATGCGGGCTCCGCCCGCCTCCTCCCGGGCTCCGCCGGTCCCCTGGGACCCACCTCCGATTGATTTGCAGGCGTCCCTGGCCGCTTGGCAGGCACCGCAGCCTGCCTGGGAGGGCCCGCAGGGCCAGCCGCCTGCCCCGGTGGCTGCGATGGCCCAGCCTCCGGCCCTGGGGGGCCCGCTGGTCCCGGGTCCCCCTCTGGGAGGTCCGCTGGGCAAGCCCCCGACTCCCGGGGTCCTGATGATCCATCCTCCCCCTCCGGGAGCCCCGATGGCGCAGCCTCCGACTCCGGGGGTCCTGATGATGCATCCTTCGGCTCCCGGGGGCCCCCTGGCCCATCCTCCCCCTCCGGGGACCCCGATGGCCCATCCTCCTCCTCCCGGGACCCCGATGGCGCATCCTCCTCCTCCCGGGACCCCGATGGCGCATCCTCCTCCTCCTCCCGGGACCCCGATGGCGCATCCTCCCCCTCCGGGGACCCCGATGGTGCATCCTCCCCCTCCGGGGACACCGATGGCCCATCCTGCCCCTCCGGGGACACCGATGGCCCAGCCTGCAGCTCCGGGAGTCCTGATGGCCCAGCCTCTGACTCCGGGTGTCCTGATGGTCCAACCTACTGCTCCGGGAGCCCCAATGGCCCAGCCTCCGCCCCCGGCAGCCCTGATTGCACAGCCTCCACCTCCGGGAGCCCCGATGGCCAAGCCTCCAGGTCCCGGAGTCCTGATGATTCATCCTTCGGGTTCGAGAGCTCCACTCAACCAGCCTGCAGCGTCACCAGCCCCGATGGCACAGCCAGCAGCCCCACCTGCGCAGCCCCTGGCATCTTGGGCCCCACAGGCTCAGCCTCTGATTCTGCAAATCCAGTCTCAGGTTATAAGGGCTCCTCCGCAGGTTCCCCAGGGCCCGCAGGCACCGCCAGCACAGCTGGCCACACCCCCGGGTTGGCAGGCCACCTCGCCGGGATGGCAGGCCCCTGCCCAAGGCTGGCAGGCCACGCCCCTGGCCTGGCAGGCCACGCAGGTCACCTGGCAGGCTCCAACAATTGCCTGGCAGGCGCAGCCACCGGTGCGTCAGGGTCCACCACCCATTCGCCCCGGCCCGCCGCCCATCCGACCCGGGCCCCCACCAGTGCGCCAGGGGCCACCCCCGATCCGCCAGGCACCGCCGCTGATCCGACAGGCTCCGCCGCCCATCCGGCCTGCCCCGCAGGTCCTGACCACTCCACCTCCGCTCTGGCAGGCCCTGCCGCCCCCACCACCTCTGCGCCAGGCCCCTCAGGCTCGGCTGCCCACCCCACAGCTGCGGGCAGCCCCCCAGATGCGGGCGGCCCCGCAGGTAAGGGCGACCCCACAGGTGCGAATGGCCCCGCAGGTGCCCACGGCCCCGCCAGCCACGCAGGTGCCCACAGCACCTCCCGCCGGTCCACAGGTGCCCCAGCCCGCGCTGCCGGCTCCTCTGCCGGCACCCCTGTCGGCACCCCAGGCTGTGCACTGCCCGCCCATCATCTGGCAGGCCCCCAAAGGCCAAGCCCCGGTGCCACACGAGATGCCAGCTTCAATGGAGTTCCAGGAAGTGCAGCAAGCCCAGGCGCTGGCCTGGCAGGCCCCCAAGGCCCCTGGGCACTTCTGGCAGCCCCTGCCTGCCCAGGAGGCTCAGCGGCAGGGCCCATCGCTGGTGCAAGTGGAGCAGCCCTTTCAGGGGGTCCCAGCCTCCCAAAAGGCGCTGCAAATCCAGCTACCCCCCCAGCAGGCCCAGCCCTCGGGTCCGCAAGCAGAGCTGCCCACCATGCAACTGCAGCCCTCCTGGCAGAGCCCCCCTGCCGCCCTGCAGGGCCAGCCCGGAGCCCCCTTAGCGGCGGCAAATTTTCCCATGGGCTCTGCCAAATCACTGATGACTCCATCAGGAGAACCCAGGGCCTCTTCGATAGACCGTAGGACCTCGTCCAAGGAGCGCCGCACCTCTTCCAAAGAGCGCAGGGCTCCGTCCAAGGACCGCATGATCTTCGCCGCCACTTTCTGTGCCCCCAGGGTCATGTCAGCGGCCCGAGCCCACCTGCCGCCCGCCTGGAAGAACTTGCCTGCCACACCAGACACCTACACTGCCACCCCAAGGGCCTTTCCAGCTACCTCCCAGTTCCAGCCTGCCTCTTCTAACGCCTTCAAGGGCCCGCCTGCCTTCTCCGAGACCCCGAAGTCACTGCCACTGGCCCTGAAGGATCCCTTTGCGTATGGGGAGGCCCCGCCTTCGGTCCCATGGGTTCCCCAGCCCCATGTGAATGCTCCCAGGGTGTCCAAGGCAGGGCCCGCCATGCTGATGGCAGCAGCAGCTGCCCCCCAGGCGATGGCCGCCGCTCAAGAAGTCTCGAAGACCCCCAACGAGCCTCCGCGTCGCGGCAAAGCCACCCGGAAGAAGAAGCATCTGAACACCGAAGAGGACGGCAGCGGCCGGATGCTGGCCCTGCGCGACTGGCAGGCCCCAAGGCCCTGGGAAAATGTGAACTTTAATGACTGGGAGGTTCAAAACCCTCTCCAGGTGCTGGGTGACTGGGAGGACCCAAACACCTCCTATGATCTGAGTGGCTGGGAGGGCCCCAGTACCTCCAGGATCCTGAGTGGCTGGGAGGGCCCTGGCACATCTTGGGCCCTGAGTGCCTGGGAGGGTCCTAGCACCTCCAGGGCCCTGGGTCTCTGGGAAAGCCTGGGTAGCCCTCAGCCTCTGATGCTCTCTGAGATCCCCGGCCTCTCTCTGGGATTTGGCACCAGCCAGGATGAGCCCAAGTTGGAGACTCAGCCGTTGTCTCCCTTGGACGAGAGGGCAAATGCTTTGGTGCAGTTTCTCTTGGTCAAGGACCGAGCCAAAGTGCCCATCAAGCGCTCGGAGATGGTGAAATTCATCATCCGTGAATATAAAGACGAGTGCTTAGAAATAATCAAACGTGCCAACAATAAGCTCGAGTGTGTCTTTGGTTATCAATTGAAGGAAATTGATCCCCAAACTCACTCTTACATTATCATCAACAAGCTGGGGGGCTATCAGGGTGCGCCAGTGGCGCCCTACTTTGACACCCCCAAATTCGGCCTCTTGATGGTGGTCCTGAGCCTCATCTTCATGAAAGGCAATTGTGTTGGGGAGGACCTGATCTTTAACTTTCTGTACAAGCTAGGGGTGGATGTCCGGGAGACCCACGGTCTCTTTGGAAACACAAAGAAGCTCATCACTGAAGTGTTTGTGAGGCAGAAGTACCTAGAGTACAGGCAAGTCCCCAATACTGATCCAGCAGAACACGAGTTCCTGTGGGGCCCCCGAGCATTCTTGGAAACGAGCAAGATGCTAGTGCTCAAGTTTTTGGCCAGGCTCCATAAGAAAGATCCCCGGTGCTGGCCGTTCCAATACTTTGAAGCCCTGGCAGAATGTGAGTCCGAAGATGCGGACAAGGATGAGCCCGGACCCGATGATAAAGCTGAGGGTCCCCCCAGCAGCCCCCCTCCCCGCTAATGAGATTTAACAAATATTTCCGTCCCTTTGTGTCCCCGGCCAAAGGCCACTGACAGGGTTGTGTGTGTGTGCGCGTGTGTGTGCGTGTGTGTAGGGGGGAGATGTTTTGTTTCTGGTGTTCATGTTCCAGTTTTATGTGTGTGAATTTGGATTTCGACTTGGTTTTGTATCTGCCAAAGCTTTGTACATTTTCATGTGGTGTTGATTTCTATTGGCTACTGTTCTCTTGGGTATTTTGGCACTTGTATTTTTAAGTGAGATCTGTGATTCTCTGTTTTTGTGTTATAATTGTTCTGTTTTGGTATCCGGGTTGTGCTGGCTTTGTGAAATGAATTGAAAAGCTATCCACCTCATCCTGGTACAAACTATGTAGTGTTGAAATAGGCTGTTCTTTGAACGTCAAAATGACTCATCCGTAAAGCTGTCTGCAGAGAAATGAATATCTATATCTATATATATAAATATACTTTCAGCATAACATGGAGGTGTTTGTCTTTATTCTAATTTTTACTCTAGATAGTGGGAGCCAAGTTTTTCTTTCTTTCTCTGAATAGACCTGAACATCAAGACTACCACCAGGGACAGCGCTACCTTCTCCCTACAACACCGTGCTTTTGACGGGCGGTGGAACGTAAGAGTCATGCTAACACCAGGAGTATAGCTTCACAAGGTTGCACACGTCTTCAGAGCTCATCCTCACCACAACCCCTCACAGCAGGCTTTATTATTTCCATCTTGTGGGCGAGTGTTTAAGCTCAGCTAGGTTGACAGGCCAGTGCCAAGTCAATACAGTGGGAATTTGAAGCAGAAGATTTTCTTAAAGTTGTGTGGAAAAGGAGGACCATCCACCTCAGGACCACGGGTATCCATGCGTCTTAATAAATTGGCCAAAGGGGCACTTACTAGGCTGTCACGGGGCCCGTGGAGGGTATCTAGTCGCTCAGGGGTTTGGGTTTTATCAACACACTCATATTGGGGTGGAAACACGCCCCCTGCAAACTATCCAGGCTTCTGACAGAAAAAGGAAACAAGACCCTTCAGCGAACCAGGGATCCTGCAGATCACAGGTGGTGGGAGGGGAGACTTAGCCGCTCCCAGATCTAGGGGGAGCTCCTGAGGATGGGGGGTCCATCCTAACACGGGGAAGTCAGCTGCCCATGTCAGCCCTAAGGTGCAGGGCCTGGGGCGGGAGGGATCGCACCGCAGAGCGAGCCATCCTGGGTGTTTTGGGGAAGGCTGTTCATGCCCACACCAGGGTCGTGTACACGACACTTTCCCGAAGTCATTCTCTCTTCAAGTGGCCTGGAGTCACCAGCACACCCCCCACCCCTACTGTCCTATAAAGACAGAACACTCCCCAGCCCTAACCCCTTCTCGGCGTGAAGTCGCGGACAGGCGTGGAATTTGCCTGCCACCTGGTGGCGGTCCTGTTAGGTCGCTCCTGCAGATGCCCAGAGGAAAACATCACGCCCCAAATACCTGGGTTGTGGCTACTACTGGTTTCAGAACCTTTGCCCATAATTTCACTGCCCAAACATCCCTTCTTTCCTCTTACATCAAAGCACAAGGTGAAACCTCTTCTCCAGGTCCAGTCGCTTCTACAGCAGGAGAGGGGCTCCCACGACGGCGAGTTCATGCCCAGCACGGGCACAGCCAAGCTTTCCAGGGACAGCTGGACCCACCCCCGGGAGTGCCTGGCTACAGGGGGTCTTTGGCAAGCTGTCCAAGGGACCAGGTTTCCCAGAAACGCAGGGAAGTTTCTTGCAAACACGTTGGGTCAGGGTGTACAGAGCTTCTGCCCCATCGATACCCAGTTGTTTGGACAATAGCAAGTGCCCACGGGGAGGCAGCATCACGGCCTCAGATGAGAACTATCCCCAAAAGAGGCTTTGCTCGGCCAGGGAACTTCCACATGGGTCTAGTACTTCTTGTTCGTCTACGCTTCATTTATTACGGTTTCTATAGTGTTCTCTAAATCATTTACTCATGGAGTGGGGGAGGGGGTTGAACAAGATGCTCTGTGCACCGAAAGGTTGCCAGTTCAATTCCCGGTCAGGACACATGCCCGGGTTTCGGGTTTCATTCCCAGTGGAGGGGCGTGAAGGGGGCAGCCAGTCGGCGTTTCTCTCTCACATCAATGTTTCTCTCTCTTTCTCCCTCCCTTCCTCTCTCTAAAAATCAATATTTTTGAATCTTTAAAAAATAAAAAAGATGGCCTTTATGGACCAACATTTGGAAGGTAGCATCACAAGGCGTTGCCTCTGATGCCACACCTAAGACGTGGCTGCACGCCTGGGAGGAAGACACACCTGCCACTCACAGCCCTTCCTCCCCCGCGTCTCATATGTGATGTAGAACAAACAGCACTTTTTCCAGTAATGCCAAGAGCGTACGACCTGAGCCGTATTCACGTGTAATGAGATAAGTTACAGTAATGATGAGTTTTTAGATACAAGGCAGCTGACCTGAAGACAGCAGATGCAGAGATGTATAAAATATAGGGTAGGAAGGGGTAACTGAAGCACAGATAAGTGTAATTTAAGGCTTTTTATTGCAAAATGGAGAAAACAAAACAAAATCCCTGTAACCAGGTGGGGAAAGGTATCAAATGACAAAAAACCCCCAAAGAAATATAAATGGGAAATCACTTTGAAACCTTTTCCACCGCACTACTATTTTAAGACAAACATTAGACCAATATTCCACTTTTCGTTTCTTGAATTGGCACAGAATGAAATGGGAGCCCGTTGAACACCTCATGTAAATAGTTATGACGTGAGCATCCTTAGACACTGCCGAGTGACAGAAGTACACACCACAACACCCCCCTGAAATAAAGTCAGCCAACTTCGCCTTCAAGAGGTTTAAAAATATGAATACTGTTTTACTTAGAAATTCACATAGGACTGTATTGAATGGGAATAATCTTCAGTGGGGGCAAAGACTTCTTCACAAAGACAGGTGCTTATGAGCGGAGGACAGTAATTGGAATATGTAGCTCCCCGCCCCACCATACTAACGTCAAGGTGGTCCAATGAGTTTTTTTTCCTGAAAAGACAAGAATTCCCCAGAAACAGACATGCAGATCGCTCCAACACAAAATGACAATCTTGGGGACAAAGGCATGACAACCTGTGCCTGAAAAAAATTTAGAGTGGGGCCAGTAGACTCCCATTAATGCCATAAAATGATTTCACCAAAAGCCATTTCCCATTAAGCTGACAAAATTAAAATTTAAAGAGAGATTTTAAATGTCTCTAAAAGTGACCGAATCCAGTGCCCCGCTGTGTAGGATAATGAGTTATAAGCGAACTGATCTCTTAGGGTATTTATCTAAAAGTGATGATCTGATTGGGGGGATAATTTCACTCTAAGCAAGGCTTCCTGAGAGCAGTCAGGACAAGGGCCAGTTGCTTGTCAAATTCGTACATAAAAGCAACATTGTAAGCAAACAGGAATTGATCTTTGAAGCGATGGACGGAACAATCTCCAGGGTCCCTGTGGCCTCTACTGGGCATGTAGCCCACATGGTATTAATTTATCTTCAGGGTTACAAACACACTCACAATTGGAGCACTCTCCCACCCACTGCCATAATACTTGAAAGGCCAGGGCTCCCTCTGCTGGAAACTCCTAGGAACTCCCCGAGTTCTGTATTGAAAACGCAGGTGTCAACAAGGATGGGTCCCCGAAGAGAAGCCTCTAACATTTAGAGACCCTTGACTGTTTTTCTTGACAAACGGAAATGCCATGCGGTTTTAACAAGCTTTATTGTTAGTGATGTTTGACAACTTTTCCTGTCTTTGAAACTATTTGTATTTTATTTTCTGTCCAGGGTGTAGTCTTACTATTTGTTCATTAAGTTGTTGTTGGTCTTCTGGTTTTTAATTTTTTTTTTCTTTATTGCCTTTAGAGAGAGAGGAAGGGAGAGGAAGAGAGAGAGAGAGAGAAACATCGATGAGAGAGAACATCAATTGGCCACCTCCTGCATAGCTCCCACTGGGGATCTGGCCCACAACCTGGGCAGGTGCCCTGACCGGGAATCAAACCGGTGACCTCTTGGTGCATGGGTCAACGCTCAACCAGTGAGCCACACCAGCCAGGTGGTCTTTCGTTTTATTGGATCACTATAAAAATAGGAAACTAAGCCCTGGCCAGTGCGCTCAATGGTTAGAGCATCGGCCCAAACACTGAAGGGTTTTGCGTTCAATTACTGGTCAAGGGCATGTGACTGGGTTGTAGGTTTAGTACCCACCCCTGGTCAAGGCACGTATGGGAGGCAACCAATCCATGTGTCTCTCACATCTGTGTTTTATTTCTCTTCCCCCTCCCTCCCTCCCTTCCACTCTTTCTAAAAAAAAAAAAGAAAAAAATATCCTCCAGTGAAGATTAACAAAAATAACAATGATAATAAAAGGAAAATAAGCTCTTGGTCTACTTTATGAATTCCTTTTTTTTTTGCACTTTGAGACTTGTCTTGCTAAGCTCATTGTAAAGTGGTCACATTCATAAGGCAGGGCAGTGGCTGAGAAGACGGGGCCCGGGGTCAGGTGATACCAGTGTCGTGGCCATGGACTCATCTTTTTCTTTTTCCTTTATTGATTTTTAGAGAGAAAGGAAAGGACAGGGAGAGAGAGAGAGAGAGAGAAACATCAACGAGAGAGAACATCGACTGGCCGCCTCCTGCAGGCCCCCCCCCTGGGGATTTGGCCCACAACCTGGGCATGTGCTCTGACTGGGAATCGAACCGGTGATCTCTTTTTTTTTTTTTTTTTATCCCACCCGAGGATATTTTTCCATTTTTTGTACAGATAGAGTGGGAGGGAGAGAGAGGAAGGGAGAGAGAGAGAGAAACATCGACGTGAAGGGACACATCGAGTGGCTGCCACCCGCACGACCAACCAGGGCTGGGGACAAACTGCAACCGAAGTACGTGCCCTTAGCGGGAACCGAACCCGGGTCTCTCCAGACCGCAGGTCGACGCTTTAACCGCTGAGCCACACTGGCCAGGGCGAACCGGTGATCTCTTGATGCATGGGTCGACGCTCAACCACTGAGCCACACCACCAGGCTGGACA